CAAAAAAAAAAAAAAAAAAAAGGACAGGGTGGTACATCTTTTGATATCTTCCCCATTTGGAAAGAGCAGTCATTTTATTCCTTGTATGCCTTTCTAGGTAGGCAGAGGGGGGACAGAGCCATTGGGCCCATGCAGCAGATGGGGAAACTGAGGCCCAGAGAGGGAAAGCCACTTCTTTGAGAGTTGCCAGGCGGGGCCTCCCCTTCCAGAATTTTGTCCCCATGGCTTGCCCAGCCTGTCTCGTGACCCAAGGCGAGGTTTTGACTGGACCTGTCCTTCCTCCGTCTCTCTCGTGCAGGGGAGCTGACGGGCCTGCGGCAGCAGGTGGTCACTGCAGAGGAGAAGGCGGCTCTGGACAAGGAGCTGATGGCCCAGAAGTTGGCGCAGGCTGAGCGGGAGGCCCAGGCCTCTCTGCGGGAGCAGCGGGTGGCCCACGAGGAGGACTTGCAGCGACTCCAGCATGAGAAGGTTCGGGCACCTTGGTGGGAGTGGGCCATGTTCTCAGCCACGGTCTCCTCTGACCTCCGGCGAGTTGTCCACTTGCTTTGCGTCAGTCTTCACCTCTGTGAGATGGGACTTCATCTCTGCTGTGGAGGCCCTGGGGGCAGCTGGGAGGACCCGTGGGAGATGAGGGATCCTTGTTGAAATGCAGAACCCCAGGTTCTAGATCTGGTCCAGCCCCACTGATCCTGATGCAGGGGGGTCCCCAGGCATATTTGAGAAATGTCAACCTAGTGAACAACTGCAAAGCACTTTTTTTGTTTTGAATTGGAGTCTCACTCTGTCGCCCAGGCTGGAGTGCAGTGGCACGCTCATGGCCATCGCAGGCTTGACCTGCTGGGCTCAGGTGATCCTTCCAGCTCAGCCTTCCAAGTGGCTGGAACCACAGGCACATGTCAACATGCCTGGCTAGTTTTTTTGATTTGTTATAGAGACGAGGTCCCACCAAGTTGCCCAGGCTGGTCTTGAACCCCTGGACTCAGATAGTCCTCTCACCTCTGCCTCCCAAAGTGCTGGGATTACAGATGTGAGCCTCCGCACCCGGTTTGAGAAGCACTTTCATTTGCTAAGTAGCGCTGTTTGCATTTGAGGGATCACTCTGGGACCTGAGTGTATAGAACGGCAGGGGCCCAGGGAGGTTACCAGAACACTGGCTCTGGACTGGTATTGTCTGGTTTTGACTCTGCTGGTTGGCTGCATACTGGTGATGCCACCTAAGGTCTCTGCCTCCATTTCCCCATCTGCAGAAATGGGAAGAGGATAGTGTAGGATTTTTGAGGATGAGGTGAGGGCTTAACATGATGGCCGGCACTTAGTAAATGCTCCATACGTGATTATTGCTGCCACTGGATACTCTCCTGAGTGGCGTCCCCCACCCCCACCCCCATGGGCCCTGTGCCACCCATCCTGCCAGGGCAGCCTCTGACAGAGGTTCAGGCTGTGCCCAGGACTCCAGGACTCCAGGGGGCGCCGTCCACCGTGCGGCCTCCATGGCTTTCGGTAGATGTCACCACGCTTCTCCAGCAGGTGGCAGCAAAGCGTGTGAAGTGGCGTCTTCGCCTGCTTTCCACAAAGGTCACCTGACTTGTGCTGGGGTGGGCACCTGCCCTCCACCTCCCACGTGGCTCTTCTTTGCTGTGGGCCCCGCCTGCCCACCCATCCGGTCCCCGGGGAGCCAAACGCCTTATGCTTCTTGCCCCTTGCACCGCCTGGTTTGGCCTCATCCGTGTCCCCAGATCCCGGCTCATCTCTCCAAGTCCTCTGCCACCCCAGGCCCCAGACCCCCTTCGTTCCTCACAGCTGATCCTAACTCCCCTCCACCCAAGCCCCACCCACTTCCACAGCTGTGTGAGCCTCAGATGGCTCCTTGTCACCCTGGCAGGAGCCCACCCCCAGCCCCCCACTGTCCTCAGAATCCCCACAGCTCGCACCGCCCAGCCAGCCCAGCTGCTTGCTGTGTCCCTGTGGCTCACTGTGTTCCCATGGCTCCGCATGTCCCGTGTCTTATTGTGTCCCATGACTCGGTGTGCCCCCATGTCTCTCCGTGTCCCCATGGCTCACCAGGTCCCCATGGCTCTCCAGGACACTGTGACTCACCATGTCCCCAAAGCTTACTGTGTCCCGTGGTTCAGCGTGTCCTGTGTCTCACTGTGTCCCAGGACTCAAGTGTGTCCCTGTGGCTCACTATGTCCCCATGGCTCGCTGTGTCCTCTTGGCTCACCGAGTCCCCCTGGCTCACTGTGTCTCTGTGGTTCACAGAGTCCCCCCGAGGCTCACCGTGTTCCCATAGCTCAGTGGTGTCCCAGGACTCCGTGTGTCCTGTGTCTCACTGTGTCCCGTGGCTCACTGTGTCCCATGACTCAGTGTGTCCTCATGTCTCTCAATGTCCCTGTGGCTCACCATGTCCCATGGCTCACCATGTCCCTGTGGCTCACTGTGTTCCCAAGACTCACCATGTCCTGTGGCTCAGCGTGTCCCATGGCTCACTGTGTCCTCATGCCTCTCCATGTCCCTGTGGCTTACCATGTCTTGTGGCTCACTGTGTCCCGTGGCTCACCATGTCCTCGTGGCTCACTGTGTCCCATGACTCAGTGTGTCTTCATGTCTCTCCCTGTCCCATGGCTCACTGAGTCCCCATGGTTCACTGTGCCCCCCTCGGTTTCCCTCTGGGTGCTGTCTGCCCTTTCCTCCAGGCTTTCTGGGGTCTGTCTCCTGGCCTGGGCTCTTTTTTCTCTTCTCTCTTCACCTGGCTGACTGCTACTCAGCCTCCTCTGGGGAACGTTCTCAGACCCCAGGCTAGGCCACTGCTGCCCCTTGGTGCCTTCACAGCCATGGTGTGTCCCTGTCACAGCCCCTGTCATCCCACCTTGCAGCTTTCTGGTCACCTACTCTATCCCTTGGAGTATAGGGGCCAGTCAGCCCCTGCTGCCCTGAGATTTGCAGGGGCTGCCTGGGCCCCGGCTACTGTGTCACACGTGCCTGGCTGGCCCCCAGGAGGCAGCATGGCGGGAGCTGGAGGTTGAGCGGGCCCAGCTGCAGAGCCAGCTGCAGCGGGAGCAGGAGGAGCTGTTGGCCCGGCTGGAAGCCGAGAAGGAAGAGCTGAGCGAGGAGATCGCGGCCTTGCAGCAGGAGCGTGACGAGGGCCTCCTCCTGGCCGAGAGCGAGAAGCAGCAGGTTCGTGAGTCCTGGTGTGACCTCTGCCGTGTCCTGGGTCTGGTCACCGCTGGGCCCCCCGAGCCCTGGGGCAGGCCATCTCCCTCTCTGCGCCTCAGTTTCCCCATCTGCAGCCTGGGGGCATTGGAGGAGGTCCGTGAGGCCTCGCTGGGCTCCACGCCTCACACACAGTGGGCACCTGCCACGTGACAGTGACATCCGTGACTGTCTCCTCCCATCCCCCATCCCACCCCAGGCTGGGCACGGCCCCCTCATGACTGCCTTCTGAGTGGGCCCCACGATCCCCACAGGCATCAGCTGACCCTCCCCAAAGCAATGAATTTCTGACTTTCCCATTATGATGAAATGGAGACAAGGCAGACGGTAGCCATCTCCTCTCCTCACCAGCTGTGTCACCCTGGGCACGCTTTTGAGCCTGTTTTCTCATCTGTAAAATGGGAACAATGCAAGACTCTGCTTCAGGGTTGTGGTGGCAGGTGGTGTTCCTGTACGTTGTCACGTGTGCCAGGTTCTGGTGACCGTTGTGCCCTTTCCCAGGGCTGCTCCTCTGCCCTTCGTCCGCCTGTGGTGGCCCCATAGGCCGCTGCACCCCCGGTGGGCACGTTTCCCAGCATCTTGTGAGGGAGAGGCTGGAGCATGCCCCCAGGACCAGCCCACCCCCACACGCCTTGTTCCCTACCTCTGCCCAGGCCTTGTCTCTGAAGGAGTCCGAGAAGACGGCGCTGTCTGAGAAGCTGATGGGGACACGGCACAGCCTGGCCACCATCTCCCTGGAGATGGAACGGCAGAAGCGAGACGCCCAGAGCCGACAGGAGCAGGACCGGGTAGGGCAGGCGGGCTGGGCAGCCAGGCATCCGTCGGCATCAGGCACGTTGCTGCCGGGAAACCCCCACCAAGGGGGAGGCGTGGCCCTGTCCCAGAGGAGCCCTGTCTGCTGGGAGCCCCTGTCTGAGGGCGGTGGTGCAGCTCTGTCCTGGAGAATGCTCTAGTCTGAGGACAGCACCCACTGGGCCTCCAGAGACCAGCAGGGGACTGGCAGGTCAGCTGGAGGGGCCGTGGCGGCAGCTGAAAGTAGACAGTGTGACCGCGGGTTGGGAGCCGCGGGGGCCGGGGGCATGGCAGGGCCAGGTCTGAGGATTCTGTCTGTCCCAGAGCACCGTGAATACCCTGACGTCCGAGCTGCGGGACCTACGGACTCAGCTTGAGGAGGCCGCCGCAGCCCACGCCCAGGAGGTGAAGAGGCTGCAAGAGCAGGCTCGCGACCTGGGCAAGCAGCGGGAATCCTGCCTGCGTGAGGTGAGCCGCACCCCCTTCTGGGCAGCACGTGCTAGGTGGCGCTGTGTGCCTGGGGGTGCTGGAAGGTGTTAGGGGTCCTCCCTGAATTTGGGCAGCTTACAGAGGAGGCAGCATTTGTTAAGCTCTTGCGGGTCAGGGTGCAGTGGCTCATGTCTATGATTTCAGCACTTAGGGAGGTTGAGGTGGGAAGAGCATTTGAGACCAGCCAGAGCAACATAGTGTCTCTACCAAATGTGGGCTGGGCGCAGTGGCTCGTGCCTGTAATCCCAGCAACTTGGGAGGCCGAGCCAGGAGGATCGCTTGAGCCCAGAAGTTTGGGTAACATGGCAAGACCTTGTCTCTACAATAAATCCAAAAAGTTAGCCAGGCATCAGGCACATTGGTGTGTGCCTGTAGTCCCAGCTACTCGGAAGGCTGAGGTGGAAGGATCACCTGAACCCTGAGCCCAGCAGGTCCAGGCTGTGGTGACCGTGAGCGTGCCACTACCCTCCAGCCTGGAGGACAGAGTGAAACTCCAAAAAAAAAAAACCACACTTGTGGATGGGGCAGGCAGTCAGGGCCAGGGATGTGGGGCCCAGGACTCCGCTGGAGGGGGACCTTGACCGCTGTCCTGTCGCCGTGCTCGCAGGCCGATGAGCTTCGGACCCAGCTGCGCCTGCTGGAGGACGCCCGCGATGGGCTGCGGCGGGAGCTGCTGGAAGCCCAGCGCAGGCTGCGTGAGAGCCAGGAGGGCCGGGAGGCGCAGCGCCAGGAGGCGGGCGAGCTGCGGCGCAGCCTGGGCGAAGGCGCCAAGGAACGCGAGGCGCTGCGGCGCTCCAACGAGGAGCTGCGGGCTGCCGTGAAGAAGGCGGAGGGCGAGCGCATCAGGTGAGTGGCACGGCGGTGTCCGAGTCCTAGGGACTCTTGTCTTGTCCCGGGTACCCACCAGGGTACTGGGGTACTGTGCCGATGGGGGCCCCTGTGACTGTCCCCTGACCACAGCCTGGCACGCAAATTGTGTAGGAAGGTTTTCTTCCCCCTGTCCAGCAGGGATGGGCAGGAGACGGGGTTAGGTCCTGGACCCACCTGCTTTCATCTCCCTGGAAACCAGCCCCCCCCATCATGGTCCACCCCTCCCAGCCCGGGGCCCAGCCCCCGCCTGGAGGGCTCAGCCAGGGAGGGGCCGTGTGGGCAGGCAGCGCGGGTGAGGGGGCAGGAGCCAGCTGGGCCCACTCTGGCAATCAGGGGAGGGACCTTCGTGTGGAGCCAGACTGTCTTCCTCCTCTGCCCCTGCCCTCTCCAGCCTAAAGCTTGCCAACGAGGACAAGGAGCAGAAGCTGGCCCTCCTGGAGGAGGCCCGGGCAGCTGCGGGCAAGGAGGCCGGGGAGCTGCGGGCCGGGCTGCAGGAGGTGGAGCGCTCCCGGCTGGAGGCCCGGCGGGAGCTGCAGGAACTCCGGCGCCAGGTACCCCTGTGCCGCCCCCACCCCCGGACTCTTAGGGTGTCCCGGGGCCAGCAGCACCCCTTCTCTGGAATCAAGCTCCCCCCATGTAAAACCAGGGGCTTGAAGTGTAGGTAGCCTCGGTATGAATGCGCTTGGAGGAGGCCTCAAACCCCTAACACTGCAGAAGTCTGTGTGCCTTCGAGTGATGCCCAAGCTAAATCTTCCTCCAGGGAGAGGAACTGGTACCCTCTTCTAGGCTTCAGAGGAATCCGCGAACAATAGAAGGGGCAGATTTCATGAGCTAGATCAGGATCTGGCAAACTGTTCTGTAAAGAGCCACAGGGTAGATCTTTCCAGCTTTATGGGCCTCATGGTCTCTGTTACTCCACTCTGCCAGGTAAGAAGAAAATCACCCCAGGCAGGGTATGAGCCAGTGGGCGTATGTTCCAGGAAAACTTTGTGCACACAGAAATGTGAATTTTCTGTCATTTTCACAGGTCAAGAAGTGTAAATCTTCCTTTGATGCTTTCAACCATTTAGAAATGAACAATTTCCAATTATTTAATTATTTATTATTTTTTTTTTTTAGTCGGGGTCTCATCCTGTCACCCAGGCTGGAGTGCAGTGGCATGATCATAGCCACTGTAGCTGCAACCTCCTGGGCTCAGGTGATCCTTCTGCTTCAGCCTCCCAAGTTGCTGGAGCGTGCCACCACACCAAGATAATTTTGTGACTTTTTTTGTAGTGATGAAGATTCACTATGCTGCCCTGGCTGGTCTCAAACTCCTGGCCTCAAGTAGTTCTCCTACTTCAGCCTCCCAAAGTGCTGGGATTACAGGCCTGAGCCACCACGCCTGGGGAACTATTTAAAAATGCAAAAGCAGCCGGGTTCGGTGGCTCAGCCTGTAATCCTGCGCTTTGGGAGGCTGAGGTGAGTGGGTGAGTGGATTGCCTGAGCCCGCAGTTTCGAGACCCGCCTGGGCAACTTGGTGAGACCTTATCTCTACAATAAATCAAAAATTTAGCTGGGCGTGGTAGCGCACAACTGTAGTTCCAGCTACTGGAAGGCTGAGGCGGAAGGATCGCTGGAGCCCAGCAGGTTGAGGCTGCAGTGGCCGGGAGCAGCCACTGCACTCCAGTCTGGGTGACAGAGACTCCAACTAAAAAAAAAAAAAAATATGCAAAAGCAATCCTTAGTTGATGTCCTTATAGGAACTTGCCCTGTGGGCTGTAGTTTGCCGATCCCTGAGCCATCTTCCAAAGTCATCCACAACAGCAAGCTTTGAACAAGCGCCTGCTGTATACGGGCACATGTCCCTGAGCAGTGGGTCCTGAGTGCCCCCAGGGCCAGGACTGGGCAGGTGTGGGCGGAGCTGACATGGCTGCCGTGCTGCGTCTCTCACAGACGAAGATGCTGGACAGTGATAACGCCAGGCTGGGCCGGGAGCTGGCAGAGCTGCAGGGCCGCCTGGCGCTGGGAGAGCGGGCAGAGAAGGAGAGCCGGCGGGAGACCCTGGACCTCCGGCAGAGGTTGCTAAAGGGCGAGACCAGCCTGGAGGCGGTGCGACAGGAGGTAATGGGGCAGGTGGACCGGCAGGTGGGCTGCCCTGTGCCTGTCTCCCCCTGCAGCAGGAAGCAGGCAGGCAAGTCTAGTGCTAGAGTTCTTCCGAGAGGCCACTCCCTAGGACGTGTCCCCACCCCTTGAGATGCTCCCTCAGATAGCATAGCAGCCAAAAGAACTGTGGGCCTACTGCATGCAGATATAAAACTGGGTGAGGGGAGACTCTGTAGCCATGACCTTGTTTGATTTTGCCCAGCAGTCCCATGAGGTAGGTACTGTCTTGCAGAGAGAATAGATGCTGAGGCTCGGAGAGGTCAAGGGATCTCTCTGAGGGCACACAGCCACCCAAGTCTGACTTCGAAGTCTATACTCTTTCCAGCTGTTTCACCACTCCGAAGCTACTGTATGACCTTGACCAAGTCATTTAATCTCTGTGCTTCAGAGCACTCACAGGAGGGGACTGCCCAACAGGGCACGTATGAAAGGCCCTGGCACAGGTCCTAGCCTCCAGGTGGTGCTCAGTAGATGAGGGCTCCAGTGAGATTGATGACGTGAGAGGCTGACTCATTCTCTAAACCAGAAGATTGTTTTTGTGTCTATGGTGCCATGCCCCCTGTCAGTAAATAATTTTCAGTATATGCCTCATTGTGTGCAGATTTATTGATAAACTATGTGCAAAAGTGGCTCTGAGTCCCAGCTCTGCAGTGTACTTAGCAGTGTGGCCTTGGACAAGTTACTTAACTTCTCTGTGTCTCAGTTTCATCTTCTGTCAAATGGGGATGCCTCATAGAATAGTAGAGTTCATTTTTTACAATGCCAGTTAGCTGCTATTACTAATAAACTGTACACGAGGCTTCTATCCACAAGGAGGAGATACCATGTTCTGATGATTTCCTCCCACCCTCCGTGGATGTTCTTGCACCGCCTGCTTGGGGAAGACGAGGGAGCAAGTGCTGTGGGGTGGAGGGCCCTGGGCTGGGCCCGGGAGGTGGGGCGGCGGGTTGGGGGCATCCCTGCTGACCCCCGCCTCCCGCCATCGCCCCCGCCCCAGCTCCAGGGAGCCCAGCGGAAGCTGCTGGAGCAAGAGAGCGAGTTCCGAGCCCGGGAGCGAGGCCTGCTGGGCTCCCTGGAGGAGGCGCGTGGCACCGAGAAGCAGCAGCTGGACCACACCCGCGGCCTGGAGCTGAAGCTGGAG